CCCTCCTCCTTCCCCATGCAAAAATAAAAAAAAAAAAAAAAAGAATGAGTAAATTAAAAAAAAAAACAATGTCAGAACAGTGTAAGTTTTCTCACACAAACAAACAAAAACAACCTTGACTCTGCTATCTGCTCCCCAAAAGACCTTTTAAACTTACTCAGGATCATAATTAGGTTCTCTAAATACAGAATCAATTTTATGAAAGGGACTAAAAAATTTTAAAAGGAGAGACTTCTGCAAAAGTTTAGTGTAGGATTTTCAACTGATTCAAAGAGTTACATCTACTTCTCGCAGAACTAAACTTTATAAAGCAGTCTCATATTAAACTTGTAGAAATCGGATTAAAATGAAATTACTTTTCTTATTAAATATACATTTTACCCTGTTTAGTGTCTCCCCAAATAGCTCAGGCAGTAAGAAACTACAACAACAAAGTTAAGCTGTGGATCTCTAAGCAAGTTCTCATGTTAAGTATACAATCAAAAGTATACCTGACACAGCCTTCCTGTGCTGAGCATCCAGAGCCTGGTCAATTTCATCAAACAAGTAAAAAGGGGCTGGGTCACATTTCTGTATGGCAAAAATCAGAGCAAGGGCTACCAAGGATTTCTGTCCACCTGAAAGTTGTTGCATTTCTCTCATTTCACCTTGTTTTCCTGTAAAAGACACCTAAGGAAACATATTATGAGTTAACATTCTAAAGGGATAGAATCATCACTTAAAATGGAGTTGCATAAAATGCACCAATCTAGATTTATAGATTTATAAAATCCTATAAATTCTATTAGGGAAATGCTCTGAAGAAAACTGAACATGAAAGTGTCTTACCCTGATTCCGACTCCAGTGAACTGGTCAACTGATGGGACACTGCTTTGTGACCCAGAACCTCTCTCGCTTTCACCACTTCCTTCTCCTTCATCCTGAGACTGACTGCCTTCTACATCGCCTTTCTTCATCACCAAAGTAGCTTTGCCACCAGGTACTAATTTCTGGAATACTTCACTGAAGTTCTTGGACACCTTTAAAAAAAAAAAAAAAGCGTTGATTCAAATAGATTTCACCTAGGTAGAATTACACGTATCACTGCCCAAAACACTTAAAAGCAATCAGAAATATTTTTTAATCTTAAGAAAATAACAACAGATTCAATCCTTTTAAGAGTTGTACAAAACAATGAAGTTACTACATGTTAGCAACTTACGTGCTGGATCTGCTCAGGTGTATTAGCATCCCACCCCCTGGGTCAATGGAATAAAAGCTTTAGAATCTTTACAAACTACGAGCTGAAGATGGCCACATCATAATCTCTTCTCCTCCATTCTCCTCCTGGGATTTTGGGCACACACTTACCCGTGCCCTAAGTGGTTTTCAGGCTGCTAGGCACAGGACTTGAATCACAGTTGGCTGTGTGGGAGTCTAGCACTATAATCATGAGGCCACCTGATGGCCCCCCCCCGTATGTGTGTTTTTAACTATACACGTCACATACCTGTTTGAAAGTTAACTGAATAGCTTCATATTTTCGAAGTTCAAGTACGTTCATCAGTTCCATGATAGATTTGTATCCCCTATCTAACTCTTCCTGTCGCTTTATTAACTTTTCTTTTTGCTCAGAGAAATTTACAAACTGATCTAAAGCTTTTTTGTTAACATGGCTGTACTTCTTTAATTCTGTGTTGCACTGTTCAAGTTTTCGAAACAACTACAAAGAGAAAAGAATGTATAAATAAACTCGCATACAGAGTAATTTGCAACAAGTTTTAAGATTTTAAATCAACAAGATTTACTTGTTTGAGGCTCAATGTCTGGTACTTTTCAAATGCTTCCTGGGGAAGTGATCCAAGTTCTCGAATTTTCTTCATACACTCTTCCTTCTTCTTTAACAGCATGCCCTGTCGATTTGTCATCTTTTCCAGTTCTTTAGTATCATGATTTATAGCATCCATATGTTCTTTTTCCATATTCTTCCACCGCTCCATACTCTTCTGAAGCTCTTTAATTCCAGCTTCTGTTTTATCAATGGAATTGTCCAAATCTAATAGAAGGAAAAAAAAAAAAAAAACAAATTGGGCTATAATGCCTATTTTAAAAATATTTATTTAATTCCATTTGTTGCTATTATTTCTTTGACCAGAGAGAGAGAGAGAGAGAAAGAAAGGGAAGTGAGAAAACAAGTCGCCAGGTCCAGGATTCAAACTGCAGTCGGCCATGTGGGAATCCTTTAACCACCATGCCACCTGCTGGCCCCTATAATGCCTATTTTAAAGCCAGAGTATTACCTGAGCAAATATTTTAATGCTCAAATCTATAAAAAAACAAGGATTTTTTTTTCAGTTGTTCAGATTTTACCATAAAAATTCATAAGTCAGTTTTGTCACAACAAAATTAGTAGCATAGATGAGTCATTCAAGTATAGTTTTCAATTTTTTTTTTTTTTTAAGTTTAGTCATGGGGCACAAGTGCTTGTGAAGGAGAGAAAAAGACAAAACAAGAAAGCACCCCCAAGGAAGATGGCAATGCCGCAATCCCTTCTACTCCACTCCACTCTTGGGATCTGGGCCATGTGCACACATGCGCGTGCACACACACACACACACACACACACACACACACACTCCCGGCATAATTTTTCAGCCACCAGGTCCATGACTTGAACCTTAATTGGCCATGTGGGAGTCCAGTGCCCCAACCACTATGCCACTCACTGGCCCCAATACCAGAAAGTTTTACTATATAGAAACACACCTTCTGATCGTGCCATAGTATCTTTTACTCTTTTATTGATGGCTTCGAGTTCTGATGTTGTGGCAGTAAGAACAGTACCCCCTTCTGTCTCTCTCAGTTCATTAAGTTCCTGCAATAGAGAGAAACTTAGGAACATTAAAATCACAAAATAAGAATTGTATTAGCTTCAAAATGTTATCACTGCCAACAGTTTCTGTAACTGTTATATAAATAAACATTTAAGAAAAACTAAAAAATATATGTATAAAAAACACACACGCACTTTATATAATTACAAGTACTTTTCCTCTTCAGTAAAAGGGAGGGAGAGTAATGATATAATTACTAGAAAATTTGAGATATCTTAGGGTTGAGACCCAACTCAAACCAATTATCTAAAATGCAAGGATAGTACTAAACAAAGTACTATTATTTTGCTTATTTTACACAAGTGGAAACTGATACATAGAAATATTAAATGGGAAAAAAAAATTTCAATGACTTCCCAAAGTAGCACATTAGGCAGCAAAGCTAGAACTTCAACCCAGGGCCTCTGGTCAGACTTTGTTTCTAAATCCTGTACTTTTAATCACAGTTTCTCATATAACCACTTTTGATTAAGTTATGGTTAAGAAACCCTTAAAAAAGAACATACCTGTTCTACTTGGTCCAAGCGTTTTCTGAGATTTTCATTGAGGTAAGTCTCTACTCGAGTAATAATTCCTTCTAATTTAATTCTTTCATTGAGTAACTGTCTATTTTCCTAGAATTCAGAAAAGAAAAATTAGTTGTCTACATATGCTTGAATTATAAATTAAGGAATGCTATTAATTTTTCCTTTCCATTACTGTGCTCAAATAAGATGGAGGTTTATATTTATACCATTCCAAAAAGCCCTTCTTCCTTCATTTTCTTGTTTCTCTATGCAGAATGCTAGAACATGGTTCTTCTTAAAAGGTTTGCTGCAAAAAATTAGCTTTCTTTCCCTGCCTCTCATTTTTGGACATAGCCCTAGCTGTGATTATATCTATGCAGTAAAGAGTAGAATGCTGGGCCGGCTGCGTAGTACAGAGGGTCAGTGCTACACAGAGAAAGCCAGATCTCACGCAGCCAACCAACGTCTACGCTGCGGCTCTGGCAGCTGGAGGAAGACCTCGACCAGGCCCTACTGAGGAGTGCCTTCTCTCTCGTGTGTGTACATATCCTTTAACATTAAAAAAAAAAAAAGTTATTAAACTTTTTAACTGAAAACAATATTATAGTGCACATGCACCCACAGTGTGCTTTGCAAGGCACTGAAGCCAAGATTCAAACCACTCGGTTGGTCATGTGGGATCCAGCTTCTTTAACCACCAGGACACCAGACCAGCCCTGACTTGAGGTTTTGGTTGATAACGACTCAATCTATGTAACCTAACATATCCAGAATGGTTTAAAAAAATTATTAAAACCTTACTTATCCTTATGAGTATTAGAAGTCTCGTTTTTATATTCTCTCAATATTTTCTTTCACATTCCTTTATTTAGCATGCAAGGCACTTTTCACACTACTCAATCGTCAATGAAACTCGATTCCTATCAGTTGTACTTGCCTGCTGAAGTTGCCGTATTTCATCATTCAGTGCATCCACTCTCTTTTGATCTTCTAGACTAAGTTGAGAAAGCAAGTCGGTTCCCAATTCTGCTTTCAATGATTCTCTGGTGGACTCCATAGCATGCAAACTTGCCTCCAAACTCTGTAAACTACGTTGCTATATGAAAGATTAGTCATTTATTAATAAAAGCATTAGTCACATTATTCTTATAATGAAAAATTAGAAATAACCTATACTTGATATTAAAGCAGCCTAAATAAATCATATAAACTCAATTAAATATTAAGTCCCATTAAATTTGGTAATGAGGACTATGTAAACAGTAAGAAAAATATTTATGATGTAGTACTATGCAGGTGTGTGGAACAGATCATATTCCTTAATTAAGTTACACAAGAAATTTTCAGGCAAATTCATAAGAACAAAAAGTTGCCAGAAAGTGTTGGGATGGTGCAATTGTGGGCACTTCATATTGTATTATTATTATTTTTTATCTCTCTGTTGTTTTACTGTACTTTACTGTTGATGTAGTAAATAAAATTTTTGTCAAAACTACTTCAAGTTTATGAGACCAATGATACATTTACCACTTTTATTTCTACTCCATTTAATACAATCTAGACGAAATGCAATAAAATATTTAAATTACTCCCCAGTGCTTCCAGACAAAGTGGTTACTGATAAAGTAAATGCAGACGGTCATTCAGTAGTACTACGCCATAACTGAACATGCATATTTGTTCAAAGAATGCAGAAAGTTAGAATGTAGCCTCCAACAGGAGACTTCAGGTACCTATAAATGTGGCACAGTCAGATGCAGATAACAAAAAGTATGGGTCCAAACAAAATGGAACATATAAAATTCAAGGAGGACCCATAAAACTTATGGTACACTACAATTTTATATAATTAGAACAAATCTATAACAAAAGGTGTACTTACAATGTCAATTATAAATAATACAAAACTTTTTAAAGAAGATATACAAACCTTAGGCATAAAGGTTTTCTCAGACTGCTGCCTCTTCTCTTTTAGCATCTTCATTTCTGATAATATGCTATCTCTGGACGCTTTAAATTTCCTTTGCTGAGTCTCTATCTGCTGCATCTGGTTCATCAACTGGTCGATTTCATTATTAATCCATATACAAGGCTAAGGAAAATTCTTCCCGGATTGTAAATAAATTTTATGCTCTAAATCTTCTTCAGTTCTTATAAACACACCACCAATCCCTCCCATTTCCTACCCTTGAGCAACAGCAATATCCCCGAATTTAAAGATTATGACAGTGCTGAACTACCTGCTAAATGTGTTCAATTACAAAAGCAGCTGGAAATATTTCACCATACCACTTCACTTTCAAAATAACATGCATATTTTATTTTACTAATAGCCATCCCAAAAATTTCTGGGAAACCCTACAGGGAGCTAATTGAAATGTGACTGTGTGTGTGTGTGTATATAATTTTTTTTAAAAATATGGAACGCTTCACGAATTTGTGTCATCCTTGCACAGGGGCCATGCTAATCTTCTCTGTATCACTCCAATTTTAGTATATGTGCTGTAGAAGCGAGCACGTGACATTATATTTTTAACATACCTTTTGATTCAATAAATATTTTACACTCTTTTATGCTTAAGGCACTATACTAGAGAGCTCTGTATGAAGAGTGGGTCTTGTTGAATGTGGAAGAAATCAATCTAATTAGATTATCAAGTATAAGAAGGAAGCTGGTATATGCTGTCAACCACACCCTTTTTACTTAGTACTTCCTTATACTTTATGTACTTAAAAATTATCCTTTAATTTATTATTATTTTTATTATTTTGTTTGCTAGAGTGCACATGTAATCCCCAGAAAGAGGCAGGAGAGAGAAGGAAAGTGAGAAAGCAAGCCGCCAGATCCAGGACTTGAACTGTGGTTGACCATGTGGGTATCCAGCACCTTAACCATCATGCCACCTGCCGGCCCTTTATTTTTTTAAGAGAGATTTTTGCTATAGGGCACATGCACTCACTGGAGAGACAGACAAAGACAGAAGGCAGGAAATCATCCCCCCACGGAGGATGGCCATGCCGCAATCCCTTCTCCATTCTCCTCTCAGGATCTTGGGCATGCACATGCTTGCGCCCAGCATGAATTTTAAGCTGCCGGGTCTGGAACTCAAACCGTGGTAAACTACGTGGGAGACTAGTGACATAACCATTATGCCATTTGTTGGTTCCCCCCATACTTTCCTTATGCTAACATCTTGCCAATGTAGGCAGTTCTCAAAGTATGATATGCAGATCCCTGCAAGGTCAAAGTTAAAATGCTTATTTATCTTTTTCTCCCTGTTACTGCTGAACTAATGGCACAGAAGTCATAAACTTGTAATTTTTTTTAAAAAGCTAGTTTCACGTAGAGTGTCTTTAAAGCAGTAAAAATTAATTTTATTCTCAATACTTGCATAGCTGTATTTTTTTTTAAGAATTATTTAACTTTTATTTATTATTATTTTAATTTAACCAGAGAGAGACTGAGAGGTAGAGAGAAGGAAAGTGAGAAAGCAAGCCACCTGGTCCAGGACTTCGACTGTGGTCTGCCACATGGGAATCCAGCAGCTCAATCACCATGCCACCTGCTGGCCCCATAGCTGTATTATTTTTAAAGAATTATTTAACAATTATTACTGTTATTATTTTTAATTTGACCAGAGAGAGAGGGAAAGTGAAGCCACCAGGTCTGGGAATTGAACTATGGTTGGCCATGTGGGAGGTCCAGTGCCCCAACCACCATGTCACCTGCTGGCCCCTAGGGCCGTATTTTTAATACTGTATGACAAAACAGAAAGCACCCATAAAATATTTCCATCGCATACCAAATCATCGTGGTTGTTTTTTCTTTCCATTGATGACACAGCACATGTTTGTGCACAAGAAGGGAGATGTAGGGAACAAGCATCCTTTCTAGGGCTCAATTGCACTGCAGTTCTCCTCCAGTACACCGAGATCCTGGGCATGTGTGCATGTGCCTGAAGAGCTTCCAGGATGACCGGGCCAGGGGCTCAGACTGCAGTCAGCACAAGGCCTCCAACTCTGCCGTACTGCATAGCACCAAATGCCACAGGGGCTGCATGGCCCTTAGTTGTTTTGAGAAAATGTACATGTACCTGTTTTAGCTGTGAACTGAACTAGCTGCTCTTCATGCAGTACCATTTTTATTTGAAGAACAACTATGGTTACTCAAACTTTGATATTTGGTAACTATTTCCACCACTTACAAAAATCTACATTGAATTACCTCAAAAAGTAAAATTTAATGGACATTTCTCAATATTCCTATTTAGAATATGGCATTACTGATGCCACAGACCCTCCTCCTCAAAACACTAAGCAGGTTTCCCCTACATTTCACTGACCAATCTTGAGTTTCTTCTTTTATTTGCTTGATAACCTTAATTCTGGTGCTCTTTAGGTTCTTTTCTCCCAAAAGTAGGTCCACTGACACTAGCTATTTAATGTTTGAGCAAAGGATCAATATTCAAGTAATTTTTCGTTTTTTTCCCTTAGTCTTTAGAAGTCAAACAATAAGCTCCTGTGCATAAATAAAAGGCCAAGTGAAACACATGAAGTCTTTATCCCTCTGTATATACAGAAAAACACTGAACATGAAAACGATATAATGCAACCAAAATGCAGTGTTTTCCACAGTAACTATCATTAAGCACAAAATAAAAAGATATTTTCAATATTTCTGCGCAGGTTTTCATTGAGCTTGGCCTCGAGCTCACCTAATTCTTCTTCTGCTTTTCTAACATCTTTTTGCAATTCAAGTCGTGATTTCCTTGTGTCATAGTAACCCCCCGTTAGAGCACCACGATGACTGACTTGGTCACCTATAAAAAATAAGAAAGGTAGTAATTCTGTGTAACAACTTTAATCAACAACAGACTGACTTTCGGGGGAAAAAAATATTCAAGCGAGAGTCAACAAATCTAAAGACTTTACATGAACGTTAAAAGAAAAGTTAATAATTTAAGCCACCCTAAAAAAACCTGCTTTCTGGGAACCAGCAGTTAGTGTAATGGCTATGTCGCTGGACTCCCATGTAGTCGACCGCGGTTCGCATCCCGGACCCGGTGGCTTAGAACTCATGCCGGGCACGTGTGCGTGCGTGCCCAGGATCCCGAGAGGAGAATGGAGGAGAGGGGATTGCGGCGTGACCATCCCCCCTGGGGGGTGGTTTCTCGCTTTCTGTCTCTATGTCTCTCTCTGTCTGGCGAGCGCATGCGCCCTTAGAGTAAAAACCTCTCCAAAAAAAAAAAAACAAAACAAAAACCACCTGCTTTCTAATGCTAAAATCTTTTTAGTCTTTAAAAATGTACTTTCTAATGTGAGCCAGAACATTTATCAGAAAGCAACAAGTGCGAAAGACTAATGAAGACATGACAATGGGACAGAAGACCTAGTCTGGAATTCCCCTCGGCCACATTTGGAGAAATCTGAGCATCAGAAATAATGGCAACCTGTTAACACGCACCAAGTTAGAAAACAAACAAACGTGAATCACAGTGATAGTCAAAATAAATAAAAGGAGGGGGCTGTTCTTCATACAAGAATGATAGCTAATAAAATAAGAGGCAATGATAAAATTTAAGAATCACCACTCGAAGCTTGCAGAATAGTAACTGATTCAAGCGAGAGTCAACAAATATGCTAAAATCACTGGTAAAAAAGTTCTTGGGAAGCCTGATATTCACGTAGTCTTAAAGAATAATTCCACATATTACTTACTAATCGCGAAGGGAAAAAGACACATGTACGGCTGAGACCTGCTAGTGCTCAAACTTAGCATCACTAACAGTGGGACTCTTCATATTTTGAAATAAGAACTGTGTATCAATCACTGGTGCCAGTAAGTGGTGTGGGGGCTGAGGCACTGGACTCCCACAGGGCTGACCGCAGTTCGAGTCCTCTCCCTCTTCCCCCCCCATCTGGTGAACACATGAGCCCTACAGCAAACTCTGTGTGTGTGTGTGTGTGTGTGTGTATGTGTGTGTAAAAACCAATATTTTTTTAAAGAAGATTTTTGCTATAGGATATGTGCATTCTCTAGAGTTAGAGAGACAGAAAGTGAGAAATCACCCCCCAGGGGGGATGGCCATGCCGCAATCCCTTCTCCATTCTCTCGGGATCTTGTGCACGCACACACACGTGCCTGGCATGAGTTTAAGCCACCAGGTCCAGGACTCGAACCGCGGCTGACTACATGGGAGTCCAGCGACTTAGCCATTGTGCTAACTGCTGGTCCCCTAAATCTTGTTTTGAAGAAAGAATAAGTTACTTATAATTTCTTAAAATATTCTGATAACCATGCCAATAAAACTGGTTTCCTCTGTAATCTAAAAAATTTTATTTAATGCACTTAAAAATTTTGAGAAAGGGCTCATATGGTTCACAAATAGCCAAAGAATCCCTGTTACAGACCAAGATCATACTTAAAACATAACAAATTTTTAAAAGGATTATTTAATTTATTATTATTATTTTTTAAAAATTTGCTATGTGTATTCACCAGAGAGAGGGGGCTGAGGGAGTGAGAAAGCAAGCTGCCTGGTCCAGGACTCAAACCGTGGTTGGCCATGTGGGAGTCCAGCGCCTTAACCACCATGCTACCTACTGGTCCCTCGACCAACTATGAAGCGTGGACCCTGTTTAGCCTCTCACTTGAACAAACTTTAAAAAATAGTAAAATTAGTAAGACATGACTTTTCTAATCGTTTTTAAACTAAAATGACTTCTAAGTTAATACATAAGATACACTCATCAGACATGTATACAAGCTCAAATGAGATAGTACACAGCTTATTATATATGTTAAATTATTTAGTGGAATTTATTTGTTCAAAGCTAAGAATTACTATTACAAACCTTCCAAAGTAATGCAGTCCATAGTGAAAGCACGAGCCAGCTGGGTTGAAACTTCCATGCTACGACATATAAGTGTCTTTCCAAACACATGTTTAAAAGCTTTGTCAAATCTGGGATTGTACCTCAGTTTACTAATCATAGGAATAGCATCCTAAAAACAAATATTTTGTCAGCAAGCAAGGAGATCACAATAGTTCATTAAACACTATCAACTGAACCATGAATATCATCTTTATGAAATACAAATAAACACAAATGCCTTGTATTTCTAAACTACTGGTTTTTATACCAGAGGTAGAAGAATTATTCTACTGAAATATCCTAGAAATTTTGCTCATGTAGTCACTAATGCCTTCAACAGCAGAACACAGTGACAAAGAACTTAGTGGCTTTGACTAGACTGCTCAAGTTCAAATCCTGGTCCCACTACTCATCAGATGTGTGCTCTAGACAAGGTAACTTCTCTAGATAATACTTTCTCTACAAAACTGATCACAACAGCACCTTCCTTACAAAGCTGTAAAGACTAAGTTAATATTTGTGAAACACTTAATATCTGTCATAGAAGAGCTAAATAAATGTAAACTAGTAGTATTTTCTCAATATTTTTAACAAAATCTTTATATATTCTCTCTCTATATATATGCATCTAAATTAGATATTCAGAAAACTTATTTTCAGATAAAATATAATTTTTCTACTAAACTGTTAGGAGTTTTAGAATTTTTAAATTATGAAATACAGTCTATGCAGTAAGAATGTTAAGCTTAAGTTAATAAACACCAACATAACCTCTACCCAACACACAATACAGAACACTGTTAACATCCCAGAAGACATGAGTGTGCCACTGTGCTCGTCAGAGTGGTTATCTACAGGAGTTAGCTGAGAGGTGATGAATACCATAAACTTTACACTCATCACTTCCTTGCACCTTCTATTCTATCACCTACGTTCAGTTTTGTTCATGTACTGTAAGCGAAATCACACATGTGTCTTTTTGTATCTGGTTCTGTTCCTACATCATGACTTAATTTTTCTTCCCCAGAACTTCAAAGATAGTTTGTGGAAGGGGAGGCAGAAAAGCTGAATCGCTTAGTAGCTTAAATGACTTAAGTTTTCCACTTAGGTCACTCTCAGCATGTTTCAGCATTCACCTTAGAGAACAGCAAAAGTTGCTACTACCATCAACATTCTGAAGTCAAAAATCATGAAGTAACTCTATTTTTAAAAAGAATGATGTCCGGGGACCAGCAGATGGCACAATGGTTATGTTGCTGGAATCCCATGCACTCGACCTCATGCTGGGTCCATGTGCATACATACACAAAATCCCAAGAGAAAAATGGAGAAAGGATTGTGATACAGCCAATTCCACCACCCACCCCACCCCACCCCTGCCCCCAGAGTGATTTCTTGCTTTCTGTCTCTGTGGTGAGCGCATATGCCCTAGAGCAAAAATCTCTTTTAAAAAAAAAAAAAATCTGAAGATTACTTCTAATCCATTTAAAAGTGTACTAGCTGGACTCCCACGTGGCTGACCATGGTTAGATTCCTGAACCTGGCAGCTTGCTCTCTCACTTTCCTTCTCTCCCTGTTTCTCTCTCTGGTCAACCTCAATAAAGAACATTACAATAAGGACAATGAATAAGAGTAAATTAAATAATTCTTAAAAAACAAAACAAAACAGTGTATTAGCTGGGACAAGCAGATGGCATAATGGTTGTGTCACTGGACTCCCACATGGTTGACTAGGGTTTGAGTCCTGTGGCTTAAAATTCATGCTGGGCACATGTGCATGCATGCCCAAAATCCCAAGGAGAATGGAAGAGAAGAGACTGCTGTGTGGTCATCCTCCCTAAGGGTTGATTTCTGGCTTTTTTCTCCCTATCTCTTTTGCAAAAATCTCTCTCTCTCAAAAAAAGTGTTATTAGCTAGAAACAAAAGCGACATTTTGCTTTCAGAGTCTATCACATTGCTAGCTTTTCATTTAATTTATAAACTATTTTAAAAGCATATCCAGAAAAACCAACGAACATTCACTATAAATAACAATTCCTAAGGGAATTATCCAACTCCCTAGCCTAAATTTCATCACACCTAAATATGCTAAGTATCTTATACTTAGGCATTTTTTTTTTAATTTTTGGAGAGGTTTTCGCCATAGGGCACGGCGCGTGTGCTCACCAGACAGACAGACATAGAGACAGAAAGCAAGAAATCACCCCCCGGGGGAGATAGTCACGCCGCAATCCCCTCTCCTCCATTCTCCTCTCATGATCTTGAGCATGCACGCACACGCATCCAGTGTGAGTTTTAAGCCACCGGGTCCGGGAAGTGAACCGCGGTCGACTATGTGGGAGTCCAGCGACATAGCCATTACGCTAACTGCTGGCTCCCTTATACTTATGCATTTTAAACATTTGCAATGACTTATGCTTTATACATTTGCAATGACTTGTTCCATGTGTGACTGTGACCTCTGCCTCCCACCCCTACCCCAACCAGCACTAACTGTGCCCCATGGAAAGAAAGGTATGTTTATGCCACACACCAGTGGACCCCAGTGTACAGAGCCTGGGCACTAGCATGTGTTGAACAGATCACATGATTATTTTAAAAAGTAATTTCATGGAAGAGACATAGACCTTAACACACGGTGACTCACATTGGTTTCAGGATAGGCAGTATCCCTGACATCTAACTTGTTAAGAGGCAGAAAAGTGACCTCTCCAGGAAGATTCATTTTATTAAACTCCATTAAAATCTTCGTGCTGACTTCATCCGAATCAACAATGTGATAAAATAACCTACATATAAACAGAATAAGACACGTCTTTATTACTAGACTTTTAAAATATTACAAACATTCAAGCATCAAACAATTCACTTTTCTCTGCCACCCTATTTGTATGGGGGTTAAAAAGACCAAAAAAACTCCAGGGCCAGCCAGTAGTGTGGTGGTGAAGGTGGCTGGATCCCACATAAACAACTGTGTGGTTCAAGCCCTAGACCCAGCAGCTTGAAACACATGTTGGGTATGCCCAAAATCTGGAGAGGGGAATGGAGGCGAAAAGACTGTGTGGCATGGCCATCCCCCGGGTGGGCACTTTCTTACCTCCACCCCTGGAACCCCATCTCTCTCAGGAAGTGCATGAGCCCTGTAACAAATTTTAAAAAGAAAACTCAAATGGGAAGGGGGAAGAAGGCGGCCCCAAAAAGGGAAAGTTCTATTTTGTAAAATTAAAAACAAATTTAAGAACCAGCAGGTGGTATAATGGTTATGCTACTGAACTCCCAACAGTCAGTCACAGTTTGAGTCCCAGACCCAGTGGCTTAAACTCACACTGGGTGGTTGTACATGTATGCCCAAAACCCCAAGAGAAGAATGAAGGAGAAGGAATTGCAGCAAGGCCACCCTTCTGAGCGGGGTGTGTGTGTGTGTGTGTGTGTGTGTGTGTGTGTTATTTCTTGCTTTATGTCTCTCTGTTTCTCGGGTCAACACACACACCCTATAGCAAAAAAATCTCTCTTAAAAAAATATACATAGAATCCACTTCTTTAATAAGAAAGTTAAATAAGAAGTTGAAGACATAAAAAGATAATGGAAGACTTACTGTACTAAAAGTACAAAAGTTATTTCTTAGTTTGGTATTACTCTCTCTTTCCTCTAAAAATCTTAAATACCAAGCAGAAAACTCACCGGTTTCCAGCAGTGACTTCCACACATGTATAGAAAGCTGGCTCACATTCGAAGTTATTCATCACAATGCCATGATAGCCATTTTGAACATGCTGGTTTATTCCTTTTCGACGAAAGTGGTCTAGTACTTTGTTTATGCTGTCTATTCCATTTAATATGGCCTGTAAATCATTAGAAGTGAAAAATACTAAAATACTGCCATTGGCTCCTCTGCTGATAAGAAATGAGCCCAATACTCTATACATTTAAAAATAAACTGCAGTGGGACCAGCAGTTGGCATAATGGCTATGTTGCTGGACTCCCACATAGTCAACCACAATTCAAGTCCTGGACCCAGTGGCTTAAATTCATGCCAGGTGCATGCCCAGGATCCAAGAGGAGAACGTATGTATATATAACATTAAAATAATATACACTCACACACAAATATAATATCCTCCCAACATCACCTCCTTGAAATATGCTAACCACATGTAACACTCTAAATTATGGATTCTGTTCTGTAACAGTAAAAATGGGCTCTTCATCAATAAATCCAAAGTGCTATCACTAATAGCGTGGATGGTAGTTAAGACTGCTTAAAGATTCCCTATTATTCTATATTTGTACTGGGTCGTCAGAAAAGTCATGACATATTTTTGTTTTTCTATGCGAAAGTGCTGACTTTTCAGATGACTGAACAGAAGGGACCTGGACTCTGATCTACTCACTATCTGAACCAATGACCTACAGCTTGAAACTAAGCACCTGTGTAATAACGGCTGGCTCAACGATTCCCTGTAAACCGAGGTAATGAAAGAACCTGCCTACCTTTCCTGTGGCCGCTCTAAGAAGTTGCTGCTTCTTTTCGAGATCTTCTCTTTTAGCTGCAAGTGCTTGCTGTTCTGCATTCTCCTCTCTCCACAAGTAACTAATCAATACAAATTAGACTGCCTTTAATTTTAAACACATAGATATACTAACAGCAGATGGTTTATTTCAATGAAATCAAACTTAAATAGCTAATTAATAACTTAAACATGTAATAGCCAGTAACATTACTCAAAAAAAATAAGGCATATTGTAGTCTTTACTAACTTTCTTTCACTTTGTAATTCATCTTTCTTATTTTTCACTTCATAATATTTTCTGTCCAGTTCTTCAACTCGAGCTTTGACTTCATTAAGATCCTGATCCAGTTTCTATAGGAATAAAAATAATTCAAATTTAAAACCCAATTTCATCAAGTTAATCTATAGTGACTGAAAACAGATTAGTGGGGGACCAGCAGTTGGCATAATGGCTACATCGCTGGACTCCCATGTAATTGACTGTGCCTTGAGTTCCAAGTCTCGAGTCCTGGACCTGGTGGCTTAAACTTACGCCGGGTGCATGTGCACTGGGTCCAGAACTCGAGACTACACGCCCAAGATCCCAAGAGGAGAATGGATTGCAGCGTGGCCATCTCCCCCAGGGGCTGGGGATCGATTTCTCGCTGTCTCTCTGTCTCTCTTTCTGGTGAGCACACGTGCCCTCTCCAAAAAAAAAAAAAAAAAACACAGATCAATGGTTCCAAAAGTTGAGAGAGGAATTAATTACCAACGGGTATGGGAAACACCTCTGGGTGATAAACACATTCATTATCTTAACCGTATTTATAGTTTTTATAGGTGTGTAAATATGCCAAAACTAATGAAATGGTACCCTATAAATATTGTAATTTGGGGACCAGCAGATGGCATGGTGGTTAAGGTGCTGGACACTCCCACATGGCCAACCATGGTTCTAGTCCTGAACCTGGTGGCTTGCTTTCTCACTTTCCCTCTGTCATCAAATAAAAATAGAAATGAATAAATGAATACAATTAAATATTTTTAAAAATATGTAATTTATTATATATCGATTATACCTAAATGAAGCTGTTGAAAAAAAATCCAATTTCAAATATTAAAAGTGATTTTTGGGCAAAAGAGAATAGCACCAGGAAACAAACCATAAAATAAATTACATTAAAGGGGCCAGCAGGTGGTGTGGTGGTTAAGGTGCTGGATACTCCCACATGGCCAACCACAGTTCGAGTCCCGAACCTGGCAGCTTTCTTTCTCATTTTCGCTCTTTCTCTGGTAAAATTAAATTAATGATTTTCTCCCGTCTTCGGACTCTGCGCTCTTGCAGAGCTTCCAGCAATGCCATGCTGGGAAAAAGCACCCGGAGGTTCATAACCTCCGTGGTCCGTGGGAGCCACTATGAGGAGGGCCCAGGGAAGAATCTGCCATTTTCAGTGGAAAACAAGTGGTGGTTACTCGTTATGACTTTGTACTTTGGGTCTGGATTTGCTGCACCTTTCTTTATAGTAAGACACCAATTACTTTAGAAATAAGGATGTTTTAATTCACCCATTTAATAGATATGAAGAACATTTTAAGAGGCTCAGTCACAATCTCTGGAAAATGGATCAAACTCTTAAACTCATAGCATACTGAATATGTTTGTAAATATACTTATGACCTGAAAAAAAAAAGAATTAAATAATTATTTAAAAAATATGCTAAGATAAAATTAACCTGTTTTATTAGTGATCTAATGAACTACAAAAATATGAACCACAGAAATTACTATTTCTATAATATGTATCCTGGAATTATAAAGAAATACATTAATCCAGTCTCAAAATATCGATACTTCAGTGCATACTTTTCATACTGCCCCCTCTACACACATACACTAGAACACAAAAGCTATTTTTGAGTAATTTACAATCAAGGACAATAAGCCAGAAAAGAACAGGCAGAACCTAAAGGTAAAGTACTACTTTAAGGATTACTTAAAAATCTATATTCATGGGGACTGGCAAGTGGCGTGGTGGTTTAGGCGCTGGACACTCTCACATGGCTGACCATGGTTCAAATCCCTGACCTGATGGCTTCCTTTCTCACCCCCCATCCCCCATGTCTTTCTCTGGTCAAATTAAATGAATGAATAAATAAAATTAAACAATTTTTAAAAACTGTCATTAATTTAGTAAATTATATTGAGTTGAAAAAATCCAAATACCTCTTAGGCCAAAGCTGAAAGAAGTTCAAACTAATCCATTTGGTAAATGGTTACTACCAGAAACCCACTATATGCCAGGTATTCTAGCACTGGGGAATTATCAAGGATCAAAACAAATACAAATCCTAGCCTTTTTGGAGCAATAAGCAAGATAAATCTGAAGATTAACCATTCTTGATTAACATTTAAAATATATTCAATTGGGACCAGCAATTGGCTTTCCCTTTCTGGCTCTGGCTCTGGTCAAATTAAAATAAATGAATGAGTAAATAAAATTGAGTAATTCTTTAAAAAAGTAAAATAAAACTTAAAAGTAGGTAAAACTATACATTTATCTCATCTAAAACATTTTCATAAAGAGACTACCTAAGTTCTTACATTATACTGCTCCAGATTTTTCTCTTTATTTGCCTCGGTGTCCTCCAAATCTTTATGTATAGCAGCAATTTGTCTCTTCTTGTCATTAATGGCCTGATCTAAAGACTTGAGTTCCTTTTTAATCCATTTGTCCCTTTCTTCTTTTGATGTAAACTGGCTTCCTCGCCCCTGCTTTGCATAAAGATCTGTTCTTTCCTGGGTAGCTTGAGCCAATCTACACAAGAGATGAGAATGGGTTGAAAAGGAAAAAAGAAATAATCACGTTTAATTGCAGTCAATAAAAACAAGTGTACACAGAAATAGGGAACCAGCAGATGGCATAATGGTTATATCCCTGGATGCACACATAGTAGACTGCGGTTCGAATTCCAGACCCAGTGGCTTAAAACTCGCAGCAGGTACGTGTGAGTGCTTGCCCAAAAATCCCAAGAGGAAAATGGAGAAGAGATTATGGCCATCCCACCCCCACCGGGGGATGGTTTTTCACCTAATGTCTCTCTCTCTGTCTTCCAATGAGCACATGCGCCCTATAGCAAAAATCTCTCAGAGAAAAAAAAAAGACAGTGTACATAAAAATAAAAGGCATTTAAAAATTATAAAAAAAACAAATTAATTGAGAAAAGAAAATGCTATATAATAGAGCTCCTAAGATTGGCTAGATACACAATACTATTAACTTCAAAGTCACAGTAAGAGTCAGATAAAATAGCCCACACTGAAGGATTTCAGACAAAGCCTGTGTTCACTCCAGGTCTAGGGTAGTAAGCAGACATCCTAGCACCCTATCTCAGGAACTTTCAAAAGCACTCAATTATATTGAACTACATATAGACATTTTCAATTCCTTATAATAAAAGACACTCAAAAGGATCAAAGGTAAAAGATGAGAGAAAACATTTACAACATACAGAATAGTACTGTTCAAATTACATGAAACATTCTAACAGTAAGGGGAAAAACTCAAGGGAAAAAAGGGCAAAGATATAAACGGGAAATTTACTAAAAACAAATATAAGTGTAAACCCATGATACAGGTTGAATATACCTCATCTGAAATGCTTAGGACCAGAAGTGCTTCAGATTTTAATTTTTTCCAGATTTTGAAATATTGGCATATATATGAGATATCTTGAGGGTGGGACCCAAGACTTAAGCATGAAATTCATTTATGTTTCATGTACACCTTTATACCTAGTCTAAAGGTAATTTCATATAGTATTTTTGTACTGCAGCATTTTGACTGTCACCCATCACAAGAGTAAGACGTGGAATTTTCTGATTGTGGTGTCATGGAAATGCTCAAAAATTTTTGGATTTTGGAGTATTCCAGATTTCAGATTAGGGATATACAAATTTGTAATACATATTAAATAGTGTGAAGCCAGCAAACACTGGCAAATCCAACCTAAGATATATGCTAAAACATCTAGGGATCAGCAGGTGGTGTGGAGGTTAAGGCACTGGACACTCCCACACGGCTAACCACGGTTTGAGTCCTGGACCTGGTGCCTTGTTTTCTCACTTTCACTTGCTCTCTGTCTCTGGCAAAATTTAAAAAATGAATAAAATTAAAATAAGTCATTTAAACAAAAAAACCTAAAACGTCTGGAAGTTAAACAGCACTGAGTGAAAAATAAATCTGTAAAACAAAACTTTTTATAGTAAGACACCATGGGGGGAGCGACAAACATGAAACATGTTTTAGAAATTCCAACGCTTTTTGTTTTTTGAGGGGGTTTTTGCTATAAGGCACATGTGCTTGCTAGACAGAGACAGAAAGCGAGAAATCATCCGCTGAGGGGATGGCCTCGCTGCAATCCCTTTCTCCTCCATTCTCCGCTCAGGATCTTGGGCACAAACGCACATGCGCCCAGCGTGAGTTTAAGCCACCAGGCCTGGGACTTGAACTGCAGAGTCCAGCAACACAGCCATTACACCCACTGCTGGTCCCGAAATCCCAACATTTGGAGGCAGCAGATGGTATGGTGGTTGAGGCAATGGACTCTCACATGACCAATCACTGATGGAGTACTGCACCTGTTGGCTTGAAAACCACACCAAGTGCATGTGCAAACGTGCCTAAAATCCCAGGAGATTGAAGGAGGGGAAATGGTGGTATGACCCCTGATCCCGAGGCAATTTCTCACTCTCCAAACTCCCTTTGTCTTTATCTGGCCAGCACTGGCGCCCTATGGCAAAAATCTGAAAGTCAACATAGGCTATTATCATTCTGAAGTGGGCATTTAACTTTTGCCTTAATTAGTGTCCTAGTAGTACCTTCCTAACCCCCAGCTCTGTAGGTTTTATGGAGGAACTATGTAGAAAGTTAGAGCACTGGTGAAAATTCTCAGACCTAGCAATTCCGCGCTCTTCTTTTTCTTTCACACTGTTGAATTTAGGTTCTGTTTCTGCCAATTCTTTCTGTTTTTCTTCTATTTTTTCAAGCAGCTTCTGTCTCTCTTTTAACAAACGTTTCTGTAAATAAATTAACACAAGTAAAAATGCATAAATATTTTTTGTTCATATTCTAAGTCTAGCATAAAATATTTTCTCATGAAAAAACTGATTCTGTGATATAAAACTAATTCTTTTTAAATGTAAGAAACAAAGAGATAATATTAAGTTGCTATCTGAGTACAAATTATTTTAATGTAGCAAGACTTTTACAAAAAATTCGAGCATGGACCCCCTGACAGAGAACTGTCTTCTACAGTTCCTATTCACCTGAACATTTATATTTTCCATTTTTAGCATTTAAACTTACCCTTTGTTCACTATTGCCTGCCAATTCGTCTTGTAAATCCTTGGCTTTAAGCTCCAACTTAGTCCTCTGCTTAATTTGTTCTTGTCTTTCAGCACTGAGCTGTTCTTTTTCTTCTTTCATAGCTGAAATTTTTGTTTTCAGTTCTCTAACCTGGCGCTCAATATCCTATTCAAAAAGTATGGAACAGAAAATAAACCAGCCAATTAGAACCAAAACAGCAGAACTATGAACCATTCATTCTTTCTCTTTTTCTTTCACTTACACCTTGTCTTTCCAATACTCAATCTCTGTAACTTCCCCATGTGATTCCCATTCCATAATTCTGGTAGGAAAGAGTTTATTATTATATATATATATGCATCTCTTAATTGCCTGGATTTTTCTCCACTAGTCTCTCGCTTAGCAGAAAGCTTTTAAAAAAAAAAATTAAAAAGTTACTAAGTCGTTTTGTATCTGTTTATGCTCCTATCTGTTAGAGTATTTTCTGTCTACTGAAATAAACTAAAAGTACCCGTTCATGTAGAATTTTTTATTTGGAGAGGTTTTTTTTTTTTTTTTTGGCTACAGAGTGTGTGCATTCGCCAGAAAGACCTAGACAGACAGAGAGACAGAAAGTGAGAAATCAGGCCCAGGGGGTATGGCCACGCTGCAATCCCTTTTCCTCCATTCTCCTCTCAGGATCTTGGACACACACACATACGCACCTGGTGTGAGTTTAAGTCACCAGGTCTGGGAAGTGAACTGCGGTCAACTACATGGGAGTCCAGTGACATAGCCATTACACCAATTGTTGGTCCCCTTGTAGAACTTTTTTACACAAGTTTTATTTACAAAATATAATTGATTTTCTTTAAATAGAAAACTCGAGCATTATCTAAAATAAATTTTGTACAAAATGTCAACAATACTAATTACAAAATACATTCCAAAAGACAAAGGAAAAAAATCCTCGAAGTTTTAAAGAGGCTTTCCTGTCATCTGGTCTGTTAATACCACCACTTGATTATACAGCACTTTAGAGACATCTGGAGTAAGGACCACATGGGTCTAAGCATTTTCCTTAGAGTAAACAGAAAGAAAATATGCTGCTAACTAAAGAATTCACTGAGGACTGGCTATGGCATAGCAGCAACGTTCTGCTCAAGAGAAGCCAGATCCCACAGAGTGACATGGTCAAATCCCTGGCCTAGTAGGCCTGAAAATGCTCGGCACACACTTGAGTGCCCAAGATCCAAGAGGCTTGAAGACTAAAGGAAGGACAGTGGTGTGACCAGGCATTGTGGAGGGTTTCATATTTCTCTCATGTGCACATGTACATGCTCTACCATAAGTTAAAAAAAGAATTGAGAGGTTTAATTTTTAAGTTTCTATTTAAGATCACTGAAGAGTATAAATACAGCATAAATTTAACATATTCATAAAAATAAAATGTATCTGATTTTAAGTGTCAAAGGTAATCATTTTACCTCGTCAAGTTTAGCACGAGTCTCGTTAAGTTCCTGATTGTAAATGGTATATTCCAGGGCTCGTCTCATCTTATCCCACTTTTGATACTGAGCTAGTTCTTCCTTCTCTTCCTCTAACGTATGTAATCTCTCTTCAATGTATTTTAGCAACTCATTGATTTTTTCCCGTTTTCCCTCTTTAAAAAAATGGGGAGAGGGGTGGAGTTGAGTAAAATTTCTGTACAACACTTCTCAAATATACCATGAATTAAAGAGACTCTTAAGAACGGTGGCATTATTTGCTTTATACTACATGGAAACCAAGTCTAAGACAATAAAATAGCAATTAAAATGCTTTACTATGAAAAGCATCAGAAAACAAACTTATATACATCAACACTGTTATGTGTGAGCGCCTCAGTTTAAGCTTCCTTTTAAGTCAGTGTGCCTTTCCACATTAAAAAACAAAAGAACAACTAATATCATCAGTAATCTTCTATTTCTGTTAAGAACAGCATTATGTGTAGCTGTCATATACTGAATACCTACTAAAACCCAGGCACAGTGCTAATTTGCTCCTTACTCATCACCACAATCTATGCAACAGGATGTCTGCAAATGGAGAAGCTTTAGACCAGACAGATCAAGTCGAGTGAAAAATACCAGCTAATGATTAGTCAGATTCTGAACCCAAACTGTCTTGACTCTAAGCCAAGATAATGATATAGCACCCATCAATATAAATATACTAATGAAGATTCCAAGTTTAAAGTTCACATTACTTGCTTCTGAACAATTAAAAAAAACCTAATGCCAACCAACACTGTGTTTGGTTTTGTTTAATTTTATTTATTTATTTATTTATTTTTTAAGAATGCATCCAAATTTGTTGTCTTCACTAACAAAGATGAGGAAGCCAGAAGTCAAAGTAGGGGACCTGCAGTGGTCCTATCTCACAACAGCCTTTCTTATTCAAAGAGATCAGAAATCTCAAATCTTCAACTGCCTTAAGCTAATTTTTTCCCACTCTGAACATAGGTAAATTATCACACCACATATTAACAATAGACATAACTGCTTTTAACTATTATAACACAATGACAAACTAATTTGCAACAAAAATCAAGTAGAATCACATATATTTTACCTGTTTCTTTCATTAAGGAGATGCTTTCTTCTTTTCGTTCATCATATACTCTAGTACCAGCTACTTCTCTCAATAGCTTTAATCTCTGGGAATCAGGTGCTGTCGCCATCTGGTTGATCTAAACATTTTAGAAAAATAATCATTACAGGGCCAAGCCTATGGCCTGATGGTTAAGGAAACCAGATCCCACATGGCTGATCACATGGTTTGAGTCTTGGCCCCAGAGGCTGGAAAAACAGGTACCCAGAATCCTCACAAGATAGATAAATGGAGGAAAGGAGACTGCGACATGATTATGCCCCACTGTGGGGAGCTTTTCCCCTTCTGTCTCTCTGTCCCCCTCTAGAGAACACACATGCCTTTTTGAGGAGAAAAAAAGAAAGGAAGGAAGGAAGAAAGGAAGGGAGAAGAGAAAAAGAGCCACTGCATAGCTGGAGCCTACTCTTCAAGAACAAGCACAAGCACAGTGGTACAGGCAGTAGGGTGCTGGTGTACAATACTGGAGCCACGTGAGAGGCCTAGGTTCAGATCCTGGGCCAAACACATTGAGTATGTCTGTGCACACCTGTGATTCTAGCTCCCCATGGGGAGGCTAAGGCAGGGTTGTGGTGTGGTAAGACTGTCAAGGGTACCTGTCTCTTACATGAAAGAAATTTAAAAAACAAAGTAAGAACTATCTAAAAAGGGTGTTTGATTTTTAATTTGCTATAGGGCACATGTGCTTGCGAGAGACAAAGAGCACAACCCAGGGGGATGGACATCCACAATCCCTTCTCCATTCACTTCTCAGGATCTAAGGAACGCACACACACATGTCCAGCATGTTTTTTAAGCCACTGAGTCCAGGACTTGAACCTCGCAGTTGGCCACATGGGATCCGGCCATCTTATCGGTCATATCACCTGCCTGGCCCTAGAAAGGGTTTTAATACATTTATTCATGTGCTAAGTCTTAAGTAGAGTACAATTTGGCTCATCTACTATAATATGTGTAGTACATATACGTAAATATCTGTATCTTTTACTTAAATAAAATCTAGCAAATAAAATCCAAATAGATGGTCAGTAAGCGGTCCAGAGGTTAAGGCTGCTGGACCCCACATGGCCAACTTTGAGGTTTAAGTTCCAGACCTGGCAGCTGGAAAAGCATTCCAAGCACATGTGGATGCACGCATGCCCCAAATCCCAAAAGAAGAATGAAGAAAGGACTCCAGCTTGGCCATTCCCTCAGGGAGTAACTTCTCATTTCCTCTTCCCCTCTCTCCAGTGAGCACACATGTCCCATAATAAACAAACAAAAACTCCAAATAGACCTAGTATATTTGTAAGTCTCCTTATGAATAAGATGGACACCTTTCTTAGTCAATAAAACGTATAAAAGATGAGCTCGATTCTCAAAGAACAATATTTTTACAAGGGAAAATAATCACTGGCTGTATCTTTTCTTAAAATGAACTGGCTAAGAGAACGTGGTCTACCAGGCCAGTCCTGCAGCCTAGTGATTACAGGAGTAAGATCCCATACGGCTGACCATGATTAGAATCCCAGCCCTTGCAGCTTGAAAAACACACCAGATGTGTATGCGTGCATGCCCCAAATCCCTACAGGATGGAGAAATGGAAGGGGATTTTTGGCATGACCACAAGAGACTGCTTTCTCCCTTTAACTCACGCTCTCCGCCTCTCTGGCAATTGAAAAAGAAAGAGAATAAAGAAAATGTAGTCTACCAAAAGCATATACATCAAAGAATCATCCTTCAGGTCTCATCATCCGGCACTCTAATTAAACATGTTCCCTCATTCAATTTACTCGTTTAAAAATTATCAATTGCTTCTTAGCCTTTTGGCTAAGAACTAGTGTGGTAAAAATGATTTCTTGAATGCCTACAACAAATGTGTGACTCTGCTGGGCACTGAGGAAAAAGTAAAGAAGAAAGCAGAAAAAGTCCTGCTCTTGTGGAGTTTACGCTCTAGTGGGAAAGACAGGAAATAAAGTATACAGTATTGGAAATAAAGCATACAGTATTGGGGGAAGACGATGCTTTCAGGTGAGGTAGTCATGGATGGCTTACGTGAAATGATATATGGACAAAAACTTACCTAAATTCAGAGCCTACAAAACAAATGCATATGCTGAAAAGACTCAGGTAACTGCTCTTTCAAAAAAGCCTCTGTTTAAAGAAACTTCTCTCTGGTATATACAAGATGGTTCTTTAGAAAATTAGTTCTTCTAGATTATTTCCCAAAACTGAAACTCCATACTACTCCTAGTCACTTCTTCAAATTATTGGGCTGGGACAAGCTGGTAGCGTAATGGCTAATGTCCCTGGACTCCCATGTAGCCGATCGCAGTTTGAGTCCTGGATCCAGTGGCTTAAAACGACACCGGGCGTGTGAGTGTGTGTGTGTGTGCCCAAGATTCCTAGAAGAGAATGGAGGAGAGGGGATTGCGGTGTGGCCTGCTCCCCAAGGGGTGATTTCTTGCTTTCTATCTCCCTGTCTCTCTCTGTCTTTCTGGTGAGCACATGTGCCCTATAGCAAAAACCTCTTTTTTAGCAACTGGGCCCTAAAAAAAAAACCTCTAAAAAAAAAAAAAAAAAAAAAAAAAATTATTGGGTTGTTGGAAAAGTCATGACGTATTTTTCTATGTTTTGCTATGGAAAAATAAAAGTATACGTACAAATACCAATAGAAAATACAATCTGTATAAGTACAAATAGTATGTATTTTGGTTATGGTAGATTTCTGTAATGTAAGCTTTTCTGTATTTTTCTGTGATAAGGAGTACCAAAGAATATTAATTTAACAAAACACTTTTTGCCAAAATGTAATTTTTTATAGGGTGTGTCTGCTTTCCAGAGAGAGGGAAAGTAAGAAATCACACCCACCCCTGCCCCTGGGCAATGGGCATGCTACAATCCCCTCTCCCCCATTCTTCTCCCGGGATTTTCTCCACACATGCATGGCACGATTTTCAAGCCACTAGATCCAGAACTCAAACCACACTGTCTACCACGTGGGATCCAACTGCCTAAACCTTCAAGACACCTACCAACTCCAAAAAAAAATTTTTATAGACTTTCTACAAACCCAGGAAGGATGGCTACTTCGCAATCTTTTCTCTTTCATTCTCCTCCCAGGATCTTGGGCATGCACACACGTATGCCTGGCATGAGTTTCAAGCCACTGGGTCTGAACTCAAACTGTGGTTGGTCATGTGGGAGTTCAGTGATGTAACTGGTATGTCATCTGCTGGCCCCCTCTACAATATTCTTAAACATGATAACTGCAACTTCCACAATTTGATAATGTCATCCAGTACAGTGCAACTCAGTAAGTAATATAAATCACCAAGAAAACAAGATCCCTTTAAACAATCTGCTTAAAATACCTTAAAAAAAAAAAAAAAGCATACAGTTTTATTATTTGGCAATCCTCTTGCCTCAGCCTTCCAAGTAGCAGGGACTACAAGGCATGTAGGATGCATCTAACTTTTAAGGTGATCTGAGAATCAAACCTGGGCCTTCCATATGGCCTCAACAGCAATGAAAATAAAGCGTCCCTTTTCACTTTGGCTTAACCACCAGAATCAACAGACCCAATTCGTCACCCAAAGGAAGGACATACCCAGAATGGAAATTCTATTAAAAAAGGATATACACTTTTTTTTTTTTTTTACCTTTCCTTGTTTAACAATATAATAAGGATTGCTTCGAGAAAAACCAGCACTTTCAAGGAGATTCATCACGTCATTTTTCCTGTTGATAAAAACCAAAATTATTTTTTCAGGTAAGTAATCCAGAAGCACACAGCAATAAGCAAAGAGTGAGTAGACTAGGTCCTGGGCTAGAGTACAGACCAGGCATCTGTTGTGTGAGTCTCAGAACCTTAGGATTCTTAAGTTCATGCTCTAAAAACTCACTTTTTGATAATGAGGAAAGTATTCCTATGAAGTAAAAGAAATCTTTTACTCTTTTGTAAAGAAATTGTTAAAAAAAAAATGCTTACGTGACCATCTTCTTGTCTAAGAAATACTGATCCTTTTTAGCACCAATAACTCTTCGAAGTGAAACTTCTTCTTTATCAATCTAAAAAAAAAATGTGGAAGACCACAGTTAATTTAACAGTAAAGTAGAAAATGTTTTAGTTGATAGTCCTTTAAAAATCCCTGACCATAACTATTTATTTTAAAATTTCAATTTTCTGGGACCAGCAGATGACATAATGGTTACATCACTGGACTTCCACACAGTTAACTGTGGTTCAAGACCTAGACTCAGCTGCTAAAAATCAGCCGGGCATTTGTGTGCACCTGCCCCAAATCCTGAGAGAATGGAGAAGGGAATGTGGCATGGCCATCCTCCATGGGCTGTGTGTGTGTATGTGTGTATGTAATTTCTCACTTCCTGTCTCTCCAATGAGTACATGCACCCTATAGCAAAAAAAAACCTCTAAAAAATAATTTCAATTTTCTTTCTAAAAATAATGCTATGAATATAATACTCAAAGACATTTTTCACAACAGCTTGCACATCTGTTTGCTGCTTGCCAGAATTTTTATTATGATTTTAAAACAAAGTCAGTATGAAAACTGTAGAATTATTTTAGCAGAAACTAAGTTATAAAAGTACAACTATGAATGTTTTAAAGTATGAGAAAAAATTAGCTACATCAATAAAATTCTTAAGACTATTATAAAAAAAAAATTAAAAAGTTAACTTACTGGTAACCGATTGTCTGAGTTGTCAAAAATAATCTCCACGAAAGCAGAAATAACACGAGGACCAGTCCCCTCCTAAAACATGACAAGAATAGGAAACCTGTCATTTAAATCATACTTTAATATGATTTACATACTTTTTAAAGCAGAGTATGATAACAACCTTAATTCAATGGAGAAAAATTTCTATTGTATCAGTACATATCCCTCATGCCAATACAGCAAAGACATTAGATATGTATAACAAAACTTCTCAACCAAATAGCTCGTCTCCAAATAAAAAATAAGAACTATGCAAGAGATGTCAAAATTAGATATATTTAAGTTTTATTGTGAAGACTAATTATTAGATCATAAGACCCAATAGCCATCTAATTCCACCTGAATACTAATATCTAATACACTTTGAGGCTTTTTCTCTTATCTCATCTAAATGCTGGAAAGGAACCCTAGTAAGTACTAGAAATCTTTTTTTTTTTTTTTAACATTTCAGATACTCTTCATAATTTTAAATCTATTAAAAAAAAATACACCAAGTCAGCCAGTTAATAAATCAATAAAATCAAAAAAGAAATACATAGCTATCATTTGAATGTATTCCCCAAAAATTCATATGGTGAAATTCATTGAGTCATTGTGAAGATATTAAGAGAGCAGAAACTTAATCTAACTATGGTGTTGAAAGGCAGGGCTTTTGGGAGGTAATTGCAATAAGATAAAGTTATCAGGATAGGGCCTAGTGACTTTATAAAAGGGAGAGACAAGCTAGAGCTTGTGTCCCTCTCTGGACACAAGCTCTAGCACTCTTGCCATGTGGTGTCTTGCGCTACCCCAGGACGCCACAAAAAGTGCTCACCAACAAGAACCTCACTAGATGTGGCCCCTTGACCTTGAGCCTCCAAAACTGTGAGCTAAATAAGCTTCTATTCTTGATAAATTACTCCGTGTAATATCATTTGCTAACCATAGAAAAACAGAGTAAGAATCCATGGTTCGAATCCCAGACCTTGCTTTCTTGCTTTCCCTTTCTCTCCCTGTCTGTCTCTCTCTGGTAAAATTGAAAAAAAATAGTAACAAATGAAATTAAGTAAATAAATGAAAAATTCTTTAAAAAAATTAATTACACAGAAGTTATCCAAAAGGTCATGATGTATTTTTCTGTTTTTCTATGGAAAAATGTGTCATGACTTTTCCAAAGACCCAATACAAACCAGAAAGAAGATAAATTATGTACTTTTTTCAGCCTTTTAAAATCTTTCATTCTAAAATTACTTTCGCTCATTATTCATAACAAATAAAAAGTCTAACATTACTTTATACTACTTTTCATATTGTAAAATTACATTATTATCTGAGTACAAATATGACTAAAAATAACAAGACAACATATGTATTGTTTAGTTTGTAATGGTCATTTCTCTAAGCCCCTAATAACTTCTGGTTCACATCAAGTTTCTAATCTCCTATCTTAAACTTTTTTCTTCTCAACAAACCTGCTTCTAGAACCTTACTAGACCACATATCCTCAAAGAAATTTATATCTAAGACATATCCAATTCTAATGCAAATTCTACAATTTTCTTTTATTCATTATGTGAAAATTAGGCCTTTATCTGGCATTAACATATTATACTGAATTTCACCAAAGAGCATAACTTATGAAATAGACTTATGTTCACAAAGGATCTGAAATTTGAACAAATGATTTTTTTTTAATCAGAACTCACAATGTATTCTTTAAAGTATATAATATTGATAACGTCTTAAAACTGTCTCACTCACATGCAACAAAGCCAATCGCTGTTCTGGACGAAGATGACTGAATTCATCGCTGAGAACAAACTGAATTGCTAGAAATACAAACATATAACTATTAGTATAGTCTAAAAAAGAATTTATGACATATTTAACTTCCTATACCCTAACAGAATATACTGTGCCAAAGAAAGACAATGCAGCTGAACTGAATTACCTGTTCCATATAGACAAAATAAACAGAAACTCTGTCTGCACAACAGACTATTCAGTTAGAAAACAAGAAAAATACTGAGGGCCAGCAAGTGGCATGGAAGTTAATGCGGCTGGTTCCCACACGGTCAAAAGCACAGTTCAAGTCCCAGACCCAGCCACTTCAAAACATCCCAGACACACAAGCATATACATGACCAAAAAATCCTGAAAAGGTACATGCATTAATGTGTATGCTAGGGGTGGGACTGGTTGTCTCATAATCACCTCTGGGGAGATTCTGAAATGCACACTTCTACTCTAAGCCATTCTCATCCCATCACCAAATTACAACCACTATATTGTATACAGGGCAGAGTACTCTTCAGATTTCTGTGCACAGAGGAATAGAATTCTTTGCTTTTACTAAATTATTCTGCTCAACTCTTCATCTAGCACTTCTCAACCAGAAGTTCAATTTCTTTTTTTCAACCTGCTCCATACACAGACTCTTAACTGTTTTTCTTCCCAAAGGATTTAACAGAGATACTAGACTGAAATGAATTCTACCTTTAGAGAGACTTTTCAAAGTTCTACATAATATATACAACCTAACAATAATCGTGGTTGAATCTGAAATTTTTTTATACCCTTCCATCCTTATAAAAATAATGACTGGTTTAGAAAACTTGTTTTACAAAATTTTTAAAAGGTGAAATAGCTTTCCAGATGCAGTGGTACACAGAACCACCATCTGGGAGGCTGGAAGATGCAAGGGAGCCAGGCTTTGGTTCTCAGGCCAAGTTGAGAATGCTGTGTGAACTGCATAATCCCAGCTAGTCGGGAGGCTGAACAGGAAGATCACAGCACAGCGAGACACTGTTGAAAGTACCTATCTCTGGGGTTGGCAGGTGGCATGGTGGTTAAGGGCGCTGGACTCCCATATGGCCAAACATTCCCTCTCTCTGTTTCTCTCTAGTCAAATTAAAAAATAATAATAGGATTAAATTTTAAAAATGTCTTTAAAAAAAGGTAAGTACGTAACTCTGTCTCTATCCCTACCCTCTGCCATAAAGGGGTAAGAGAACACCAAAAAAAAAAAAAAAGTCACCACACACACAAAAACAAATGGAAAAAGAAGGGACAATTTTTCAAAATGGTAGCAACTATTCTAGTGCATTTATGTACATTACACATTACCTTATATGTGTGTATAACATTTACATACACTGCATTTAACTTAGAAAGTACTTTCATACATTGTATCTTTTTGGAGTCTTACAACTTTATTTCTTTATTTTAACTTGCTTAAAAAGGTGTGGGAATCCAACGCCCTTAACCACCATGCCACGTGCTGGCCCTAAAGAGCTCCATTTTTAAAATGAAAAGAGTTATTTGAGAGGTTAAATGTTTTATCCAGTCTCACACAGTTAATTAGTGACTGGTTATAGAGCAGAACTCATATCCTTATACTCTAAACCATCTATGTTAAACTGCAACTAAACTGTATAAATTATACTAAACTATATAAGTGTCTTGGGTGTTTCATGCAGACATAACCTCAGGAAATCAATGATTTTAATAAACTACCTTACGATACCAAGGTTTTTAATACAGTTAGAATTAAAAAAAACAATACCTACCATAAAAAAAGTTACTTTTTCCAGATCCATTTCTGCCCACTATAAAATTTCAAAAGTACAAGTTATTTTATATAAAAACCAATGGCATTAAAAGCACTCAAAGAACTTTGCCTAATTTTCGAATATAATATCTTAAAATTTAAATTAAATACAACAGAATAGTAAACAAAATAAACCAGTAAACAAAATATTAATTACCAAATGAGAGCAATTTTTATATAGACTTCAGAATATTTTTTAAAAACATCGGGTAGATCAACAGATGGCATAATGGTTATGTTACTAAACTCTCATGTATTCAAATGTGGTTCGAGTCCCAGACAGGCAGTATAAAGCTCATGCCAGGTTTGTGTGTGTGACTGTGCCCAAAATCTTGAGGGCATGGCCACGCCACAATCTCTTCTCTGCCATTCTCTTGGGATTTTTTGGGCATGCACATACATGCGCCCAGCGAGAGTTTCAAGCCGCCAGGTCCGGGACTCAAACTATGGTCGACTATGTGCAAGTCCAGCAACATAACCATACGCCATCAACCAGTTCCCATACACACTATTTTAAAAATCTAGTTGCACATATTAACCCTCTAAAACACCTTATCATCTTAAATTCTCAAACTGTTGTCATGTTTAAACTGTTTATAATCAACCACATATATCACTCATAGTCTCATAGAACCACAAAAGTATAGGCAATTATGGGCCAACCTAGTGGCATGGTGGTTAAGGTGGCTGGCTTCCACATGGCAGCCTTCACAGATTTGAGTCTCAGACCCAGTGACTTGAAAAACATGCAAGGTTATGTATGCCTGAAATTGAGAGGAGAGTGAAGAAGGGTTTGCAGCATGGTCACCCCCCTGAGGGTGCTTTCTCACTTTCTCTCTCTCCCCCTCTCTGTCTTTCTCCAGTGAATGCATGCATCCTATAGCAAATTACTAAAAAAAAGAAGTGAAAAAAATCTATAAGCAATTATAAGACTTTTATACTAAATGAATTCAGAGATAAGTAATTCTATACATAAAAGAGTACATGAAGTGCTTTTGATTAAAGGAGTTTATCTCTCTTGTGAAAGATCTGGTGCTGAGTCATGAACATCAATCTTTCTCAACCTTGACCAAAACATCCTTAGCAAATTAGCCAAGTTAACGCCTTTAAAGCAAAGTAAATCCAAAGAGATCATTTATGATATGCCAGAAAAGCAGTGCTTAAAAAGAAAAGTCAGTCATACAGAGGAGCGCTCTGATGGGGCTTTTACTGGCTAAATCTAGGGCAATGTAAGCACCAAAGTAACTAGATAAATGATAAATTATTAGTGGAAGAATGATCCATGACTCCACACCAATCATAAAAGGTAAATAATGATGGTTCATGCTAATGAAATACCAAGTGCAAAGTGATAAGTGTGAAAGGAATGCTGGAAACTGAACAGTTATCCTCATTTTTTTTTAGAGAGATTTTTGTTATAGGGCACATGCGCTCACTGGAGAGAGAGATGGAAATAGCAAGTGAGAAATCACCCCCAGGAGGATGGCCACACCATAATCTCTTCTCCATTCTCCTCTTGGGATCTTGGGCATGCATGCACACATGCCGGAGTTAAGTTTGAAGCCACTGGGTCAATCAACATAACTGGAAAATAGATGGATTATTGCATTAACGTTAAATTTACTTAATATAGCTATTCAGGAACAGCAGGTGGCATGGTGGTTAAAGTGCTGGACAGTGCCACGTGGCTGACCACAGCTGGAGTCCCAGACCTGGTGGCTTGCTTTCTCACTGCCCTCCTCCACCTCTCTCTAGTCAAATTAAAATAAATAAAATTAAATCTAAAAAATCTTTAAAAAGTAAAAAAGAGAGTATCACTATTCTTACAAAGCACATATTGAAGTCAAAGGTAAAAAGACCATGGTATAGATAAACTGCTCTAAGGGGGAAAAGAGAACATGTAGAAAGTGCAAGAAAAGGGACCAGAAGATGATGCAATGATTATGTTGCTGGACTCTCATGTAGTTGACCACAGTTCAAGTCTCGGACCCACTGGGCATGTGTGGATGCATGGCCAAAATCCACAGAGGAGAAAGGAGGAGAAGGGATTGCAGTGTGACCATCCCCCCAAACCCGGTGGGGGGAGGTGATTTCTCGCTTTCTGTCTGTATGTCTCTGGTGAGCGCACATGCACTACAGCAAAAATCTCTTAAAAAAAGAAAAAGAAAAAAGATAGTGCAAGAAAAAGTACAAATGTTAAAGTGAGGAAAATGTTAACAATGTGTGACTCTATGTGGTGTATGAGTACTCTTTGTACTGTTCTTATTGGGGCAACTTTGTTACCCATTTGAATTTTCTTTTCTTTTTCTTTTTTTTGGGTATAGGGCACATGCACTCGCTAGAAAGAGACAGAGACAGAGAGCGAAAAATCGCCCCCTAGAGGGGATGGCCATGCAGCAATCCCTTCTCCTCCATTCTCTCGGGATCTTGGGCACGCATGCACACGTGCCCGGTGTGAGTTTAAGCCACCGGGTCTGGGACTCGAACCATGGTCAACTACATGGGAGTCCAGTGACATAGCCATTAGGCTAACTGCTGGTCCCACACATTTGAATTTCTAAATGAAAGTTGAAAGATATGCCTTGTTATTCAATGAATATAAATTGTTCAAACCATAATACATTCATTAAATAACAGAAAAAAAACTTTTTTGGAGAGGTTTTTGCTATAGGGCATGTGTGCTTGCCAGAGAGAGACAAAGAGACAGAAAGTAAGAAATCATTCCTCAGGGGGGATGGCCACACTGCAATCCCTTCTCCATTCTCCTCTCAGCATCTTGGGCAGGCATACACACGCACCTGGCGTGAGTTTAAGCCACCAGGTCCGGGACTCAAACTGCAGTCGACTACATGGGAGTCCAGCGGCATAGCCATTACGCTAACTGGTGGTCCCAATAACAAAAATTTTTAAGACTTCCCTTAAGGGGCTGGCAGATGGCATGGTAGTTAAGGGTGCTGGACTCCCACATGGCAGACGGCAGTTCAAGTCCAGGACCTGGCAGTTTACTTTCTCACCTCCACTCCCACTCTGTCCCTCTCTGGTCAAATAAAAATAAATAAATAAAAATAAATAAAATAATTATTTTAAAAAAATTTTTTTCCTTAGGAGTTACTTCTACCCATAAAGTGGAATGCCACATGTATAGTGATTTTAAAGGAAGCTGAGTATTTATAATGATAAGGAAAGCTATTCAAGGTTTATTATGAAAGAGAATAAATAGAATTCCAGCATATTATACTATAAATACCTTTTTATTTTAAAAAGCATACTTATAGACATATACAAACACTAAAGGGATACTGAGGTAGACCCACTTTATATGTGCCCTAGATTCACCTGTCCCAACCCAGGCCTTGGCTGCCAATCAATGGAGAATTTTCAGCCGACCCTGGGGGTACGTTCCAGTCAAAGACGGCTATACCTCTTTCAGGGGGTTAGTTCCTGGAACACAACCCAAAAGCATGAAGGAATTAATACCCTAGGTAGTGGGCCAGCTCCATAGCCTAGAAGTTAAGGCTGACAGTGATTCAAGTCCCAGAGAGATTTTTGTTATAGGGCACATGCGCTCACTGGAGAGAGAGATGGAAATAGCAAGTGAGAAATCACCCCCAGGAGGATGGCCACACCATAATCTCTTCTCCATTCTCCTCTTGGGATCTTGGGCATGCATGCACACATGCCGGAGTTAAGTTTGAAGCCACTGGGTCAATCAACATAACTGGAAAATAGATGGATTATTGCATTAACGTTAAATTTACTTAATATAGCTATTCAGGAACAGCAGGTGGCATGGTGGTTAAAGTGCTGGACAGTGCCACGTGGCTGACCACAGCTGGAGTCCCAGACCTGGTGGCTTGCTTTCTCACTGCCCTCCTCCACCTCTCTCTAGTCAAATTAAAATAAATAAAATTAAATCTAAAAAATCTTTAAAAAGTAAAAAAGAGAGTATCACTATTCTTACAAAGCACATATTGAAGTCAAAGGTAAAAAGACCATGGTATAGATAAACTGCTCTAAGGGGGAAAAGAGAACATGTAGAAAGTGCAAGAAAAGGGACCAGAAGATGATGCAATGATTATGTTGCTGGACTCTCATGTAGTTGACCACAGTTCAAGTCTCGGACCCACTGGGCATGTGTGGATGCATGGCCAAAATCCACAGAGGAGAAAGGAGGAGAAGGGATTGCAGTGTGACCATCCCCCCAAACCCGGTGGGGGGAGGTGATTTCTCGCTTTCTGTCTGTATGTCTCTGGTGAGCGCACATGCACTACAGCAAAAATCTCTTAAAAAAAGAAAAAGAAAAAAGATAGTGCAAGAAAAAGTACAAATGTTAAAGTGAGGAAAATGTTAACAATGTGTGACTCTATGTGGTGTATGAGTACTCTTTGTACTGTTCTTATTGGGGCAACTTTGTTACCCATTTGAATTTTCTTTTCTTTTTCTTTTTTTTGGGTATAGGGCACATGCACTCGCTAGAAAGAGACAGAGACAGAGAGCGAAAAATCGCCCCCTAGAGGGGATGGCCATGCAGCAATCCCTTCTCCTCCATTCTCTCGGGATCTTGGGCACGCATGCACACGTGCCCGGTGTGAGTTTAAGCCACCGGGTCTGGGACTCGAACCATGGTCAACTACATGGGAGTCCAGTGACATAGCCATTAGGCTAACTGCTGGTCCCACACATTTGAATTTCTAAATGAAAGTTGAAAGATATGCCTTGTTATTCAATGAATATAAATTGTTCAAACCATAATACATTCATTAAATAACAGAAAAAAAACTTTTTTGGAGAGGTTTTTGCTATAGGGCATGTGTGCTTGCCAGAGAGAGACAAAGAGACAGAAAGTAAGAAATCATTCCTCAGGGGGGATGGCCACACTGCAATCCCTTCTCCATTCTCCTCTCAGCATCTTGGGCAGGCATACACACGCACCTGGCGTGAGTTTAAGCCACCAGGTCCGGGACTCAAACTGCAGTCGACTACATGGGAGTCCAGCGGCATAGCCATTACGCTAACTGGTGGTCCCAATAACAAAAATTTTTAAGACTTCCCTTAAGGGGCTGGCAGATGGCATGGTAGTTAAGGGTGCTGGACTCCCACATGGCAGACGGCAGTTCAAGTCCAGGACCTGGCAGTTTACTTTCTCACCTCCACTCCCACTCTGTCCCTCTCTGGTCAAATAAAAATAAATAAATAAAAATAAATAAAATAATTATTTTAAAAAAATTTTTTTCCTTAGGAGTTACTTCTACCCATAAAGTGGAATGCCACATGTATAGTGATTTTAAAGGAAGCTGAGTATTTATAATGATAAGGAAAGCTATTCAAGGTTTATTATGAAAGAGAATAAATAGAATTCCAGCATATTATACTATAAATACCTTTTTATTTTAAAAAGCATACTTATAGACATATACAAACACTAAAGGGATACTGAGGTAGACCCACTTTATATGTGCCCTAGATTCACCTGTCCCAACCCAGGCCTTGGCTGCCAATCAATGGAGAATTTTCAGCCGACCCTGGGGGTACGTTCCAGTCAAAGACGGCTATACCTCTTTCAGGGGGTTAGTTCCTGGAACACAACCCAAAAGCATGAAGGAATTAATACCCTAGGTAGTGGGCCAGCTCCATAGCCTAGAAGTTAAGGCTGACAGTGATTCAAGTCCCAGCCCCAGGGGCTTTAAAAACACTCCAGGTGGGATCAGCAGTTAACGTAATGTCTATGTCGCTGGACTCCCATGTAGCTGACCATGGTTCGCGTCCCGGACCTGGTGGCTTAAACCTCACACTGGGCACGTGTGCGTGCGTGCCCAAGATCCCGAGAGGAGAAGGAATTGCAGTGTGGCCATCCCCCCTGGGGGGTGATTTCTCGCTTTCTGTCTCTCTCTGTCTGTCTGGCGAGCGCATGCGCACTATAGCAAACCACCTCCCCCCCCAAAAAAAACCACTCTAGGCAAGTGGGCATGTCTGCCCAGAATCTCAACAGGATGGAGAAATGGAGAAGGGATTGTGGCATGACCATGCCCCACTGGGGAATGCTTTCTCTCTCTCCTCTTCCTCTATCTCTGGCAAGTGCACATGCCATCTGGAAATTTAAAGTAACAATGATATTAAACCCTGCAAAATAAACTTTGACCAATGAAAGACAGTCACCAACAGATAAATCCCTCTTCACACTGCTCCTATCTAACCCTCTAAGGCATGATGGGTCCAAAAAATCTGCCTGGAAGTTATCCAATGTGACCACAAACCAGCTCTGTCTTTTTTTTCTTTTTTTCTTCTTTAAAAAGAATTATTTTCTTTAACTTTAATTTGACCAGAGAGGGAGAGAAGGGAGGGGGAGAGAGGGAGAAAGCAAGCCACCAGGTCCAGAACTTGAACCACAGTCAGCCATGTGGGAGTCTAACGCCCTTAACCATCATGCTACCTGCAGGCCCCAAGCTATGTCTTAATAAAGCTGTGGCCAGTTTTCTCCTCATTCTCACTCTCACATTGTACCTACCATTAATGCTTTAGAAGCCTGCCTGTTCTGTTTTACAGGAAACGGGTTGACAAAAAAACAGAGATTGTTATTAAGAATAGCAATCTCAGGTCGGCAAGTGGTGTGGTGATTAAAGCACTAGATTCCCACATGGCTGATCATGGTTCAAGTCCTGGACTTGGCAACTTGAAAATCATGCCAGGCGTGTGTACATGAGTGCCCAAAATCCCAAGAGAAGGGACTGCAGTGTGGCCATAACCCCTGGAAAGTGATTCTTCACTTTTACCCTCTCTCTCCAGGGCGAGAGCTCTATGGCAAAAAAATAAAAAATAAAAATAAAAATAAATCTCTGGCTAGGAGTGCAATTTATTTTAATTTTCTTACTTTTAGCTTTTATACTTTCCCATTATGTTTTATAATTAACATATATTTCTACAGTGTAAAGGCTAGAGAAAACAACGTTTAAAGGTATGTACACTGCATCTGGTACACATGCCAAACACCCAAATGCTAGCACTAGAGACACTGGGTCTCACATCCTGATTGCTTCCCCCACCAGGGGCAAAGTCATTAAGGTATCGAAGTGGTATACATTCTTTTTTTACCTGCCAGAGGGCACAACACTGGCCAGAGAGAAAGGAAAAGAAAACATTCCTCAATGGGGCATGGTCACACCACTTAATCTCCATTCTGCAGGGATTTTTGGTGGTCAAGTATGCAGGCACATGTGCCAGGTGTGGTTTTCAACCTGGAACCTCCATAGGCCATGTGGGATCTGGCTCTGTCAACCATGGGGCTATGGGACTGGCCCAATGTGGCATGCATTTACTGGGAAATTTTAAGGTCAATTACAGCACATAATGCTTTTGGTCTTTCTTACATTATTAAGGCAACTGTTTGAAAAATGTTTGGCAATAGAGTCATCTTAGGTTGGTTGTTCTAGATGAAACAAGGGAAAGAATACAACTTTCCTCTGAAACAGTAATTGTTAACATTCTTAATGCTGCAACCAAGGTAAAACTAAAATAGCTGTCAAAAAATATCTAAAACAAAAATATTTGACAGACTTTAAAGATGTAACGTAATCATTCTAGATAATAATAGTCTTTTTACAGATTATTTATAAAATTGTACAACTGAGGGACCAGCAGATGGCATAATGGTTAAGTTGCTGGACTCCCACTAGACCACGGTTTGAGTCCTGATTTGGTGACTTAAACCACGCCAGGCACGTGTGCATGCATGCTCAATATCACAAGAGGAAAATGGAGAAGGGAAATATTAGGATATTTATCTACTTAAAAAATTTTTGTTGTTGTTGTTTGATATAGTGTACATGCTCGCCAGAGAGAGAGACAGAAAGAGAGAAATCACCCCCTGGGGGAATGGCTATGCCACAATCCTTCCTCCTCCATTCTCCTTTTGGGATTCTGGGCACACTTTGGGCACGTGTGCATATGCACCTGGTGTGTTCTTCAAGTTGCTAGGTCTGGGAATCAAACCATGCAGCTAGTCATGTGGAATTCAGCTGCCTTAACCTCCATGCCATCTGCTGGCCCAAGATATTTATCTATTTTAAAATATAAGATAAAGAAATAACATAAATCTAGCAAGTGCTTATTTTCTTCCGCTGCTAAAGATTTTCTGAGTGATGAAAATCAGAAAGCACCAGTAATCAAAAGGTAAGACCCCACTACAATTAAGCTATGCTTACAGTACAGAAACTTAATTAACTGACTCTTCAGTAACTAGAGCCACAGAGAAAAAAACAATAGTATGAGTCCTTTATTCCTAGCTATAAGGTTATATTGAGGGAAGGAAAAACTATTCCTCTAAATTTTATTATTGCATACAAAATAAAGGAAATATGATTCTCCTAGGGTCTTTAAGGAACATTAGCACTCAGTATTTCCCTTTAACTGATTCTGTACACGAATCTCATCCCCACTATGGACTCGACTATAAACTGTGTCCTCCTGAAATTCACATGCTGACACCTTAAACCCTAATGGGACAGTACTTGGATACAAGTACTTTGAGGAGGTAATTATGGTTAAATGAAGTCATGAGGGTGGGCTCCAACACACAGCAAGACAGTGGCTGTCTATAAGCCAGGAAGAGAGCCCTCATAATGCTGGTATCTTGCTCAAGGACCTCTAACCTTCAGAGGTATGAGAAAATGAATCTCTGTTCTTTAAGCCACTAGTCTATTCTTTTGTCATGGTGCTGAGCAAACTATTAATAATACATCCCATAATGAGGACACCATATAGCAGAACTGTGTCAACAGCACCATCTGTTGTGTTATCTAGAAGCACTCTTTCTATCTATCCCTTAAAAATTTAGCAACATGTTGGAAAACGTGATTGTTAGCTGTATCAGCAAAATACGCATTATCTGAAGAACCTCTAACTACTGTTAATGCCGATCACCATTAACCCTTTATCCTTACACTTACACATGCTTTTGCATTTAATCTTCCCAACAACCCCAATGGGACAGGTATCATCTCTACTTTACAAATGAGTAAACTCAAGTTTTCAATATGTGCCAGACATAGTGTATTTGAATCCCACTATGTTATGCTCCAAAGTTTATGCTTTTCCAATCAAGCTATTGATACATGGTCTGTCCTCAAGACAATGACACGGGGGAAACCTGAGAACAATCTAGTTTGTGATAAAGAATGATCACCTTTGATGTAAGGCAACAATGAGCATTTTAACTAGGATATATCAAGAACAGAACAGCTCAAACACTAAACTTAGTGTCATTCACAACAAACATAAAGTTACTAAAACATGCACATACAAGGTTATCCAAATAAAAAGGAGTAACTTATGATCATCTTATCCAAACATCTTGAGTTTATAAAATAAACAATTTGTAACTGCAATAAAAAATGGAGAAGTTATTTCCTACAAAAAAATACTCATTTATTTAATATTCAAGGACAGCCTCTGCCCCCTGAAGCTCATTTACACATGGACATAATTTATATATATCTGTAGAGCTCAGATCTGTAAATCTGATCTAGTAAACCAGAAACACTTACCAATAACATTATGCTTTGAACTGAAGGGATCTACAATGGTTTGATCTCTGTAACTTCGAAAACCCTGTATGATCACCTAACAAATAAAAGAGAGATTTTTTGAGAATACACTCACAAACTTCCAAACATATTCTCCTGCATGTCTTTCTTGTTTCTCATTAAATGCAAGACAGCAAACCTTCCATTCCATATAAGAACAACTCATTTTGGAAAATGCAATTTCGTATCTGCCAGTGCACTGCCGTTTGTGTCGGAGTTATTTAGTAACCTATTAAGAATCTCAAAATCCGGCACACTGGAGGTGCACTGGAACATCGCACATGCAATACACTATGGTGAAAACACCTCCAGCGGGCAGAAAGGTGCCCGGTCTCAGGACGCCCAGAGCGGCGTGTGCCCCTTCCAGTCAGGCATACCAGCCCTGAGCCATCGTTCCAGAGGGGAGCGCTGGGAGTTCGTCGGAAAAACGCCCACAACTGGGACCCGGTTCACCTCCGCGGTGTCCTCGCGCGCGGGAAACATTGACAGAACAAAACAACTGAATAAGGCGGCGCTACACATTCTGCAAAAGGAGGGCCCCTAACACTTCGCGGGTAAAGCGGCTTTGGAACAGGCCCCCGGCTACAGCTGACACCCCAGCCTGAGCCCCGAGGGGCGTCACCGCGGTGGGCGAGCGGCCTTTCCCCGCGTCCCAAGCAAACCGCCAGTGCGGGGCCTTTTCCGCGGGACGACGGTCCTGCCCGCCCGCCAGGTCCCTGCCACCTCCGGCTAGTCCCCCACTACCCGCACCTCGCCCGCCCGGGGAGGCCCTCCGCACCTCTGAGATCCCGCCTCCCGCAGGCGGGCGCCCCGCGGGGAGGCCTAGGCTGCAGAGGCGAGCCCCAGTTCTCTGCAGCCCATGCCCTCGCGAGCGGGCGTTTATCCCTACCCCACCAGCCCGGGGG